ACAACAACAACAACAACACACACAGTCACAGTCACACCAAATACCAAAAAGCACCCCCAACCCCCAACCCCTCCACACACACACTGAGAGGCAACAGACTCAGTGCCAGAATACCACAGAAAGAAAGAAGAAAGGGCATTAAGAGGGTCAGGAGGGGAGGAAGAGTGGTTACAGAACTAATCTGTGAGAGAAAAACAGAGGGGAAGAAGAAGAGGAGGAGGAGGAAGAGGAGCCCCCCTATCTGCCCCTAACCCCCTCCTCTCCTGCAGAAGAGAAAAACAGTGTTGACAGGAAAACAAGGGCAAAGTTCCTGCATGAGTACATGCGGCTCCGACCTACATGCCCACGCAACATTTACTGGCAAGGGGACACACACACACACACATATCCCAAATAATACAAACTGGAAGGGACTCACAAATATGCATGCACATGTGCACACCCACCCACCATCACAATGCATCCATTAGCACAAACCACTGAGGACACGCACACACATGTGCAAAATCCATCTGTCAATGCACTACTTTCCACCACCACAGTGCTCTTTCTTCATCCATCCCTTCTTCCACCCCTCACCCCACAAAAACCTACCCACCCAGTGCTTGTCTCTACTATCAGGCTTGTTTATGTAAGAGTGACAGTGTTTCCCGCTCTCACTTGGCCCAGTCCCTACTAACACACAAACACACCCACACACATGCAAACACAAACACACACCCACGGTGAGCCAATGACCTGACTTCCATTGGCATAGGAACACAGTCCCACCACACGCAGGCCACAGATGAATTTGTAACACTATACTTGTGAGTACAGGCCATAGACTCGTGTTGATTTAATAACCTTTGACCCCTCCATACTACTAACATGGCAAACCCAACTTGCCTAAAAATCCTCTTTTTAGGAGATTTTCTTATCTTTCTGTTGTTGTGAGAACACATACACTCTCTCTCTCACTCACACATATATGAGAGAGTCAGAAAAACAAATGTCCCCTGACACCCAAAATTCAGCAAATTCCTGCTCCCTGCTCTGTTGGCTTAGGAAGCTGCCTTGGTTACTACTTGCTCTAATTTACAACAGCCAAGATGGGTGTAATACCTTGTGCATGCTTTTTCTGTGGTTTAATGTTCACAAGCTAATGATGACTAAATGATCCACGTCTGATAGCATTCCATCAAAAATAAATACAACCAAAATGCATATCTAAAAAGTCAGCTAGTCTTTCACAGAAATGTGCAACTTGCAAATTCTGTACTTGTTTGCTTTGAATGTCTCATGTAGCGTTGTTCCGATTCCGATACCAGTACGTCCCGGAAATTGCTCCGATACTGCCGAAAATGCTGGCATCGGTATCGGCGAGTACTGGAGTCCAGGCACCGATCCGATAGCACGTAATTTATTACATTAGTAATCTATTTACTGGTTAGCTCCGTTAAGCTCTGGTACAGTTCTTCTTCGCCGCTCTTAAAACAGTGGCGCTGTGCTGCAACCTGCAGCTGCTGTTTTAGAGGGACGAGGAGGAATTGATCACGTGACACAGACACAACAGACACACGTGTGTCAGAGCCGGTTGCGCGAGGCTTGGAGCTAAGCTAAGTAGCACTATCATGTCGGCGGTGTGGCAATATTTCACACTGGAATCTCCAACCAGTAAGACTGCGACATGTAACGTGTGCAAAGATAAAATCTCAAGGGGTGGCACGAGTGTTGCTCATTTTAACACAAGCAATTTAATGAAACACCTGACAACACCTGAAGACGCGTCACCCTAAAGAGCACAATGAATTTCTAAAACAAAAGGGAAAAAGAAGGACGAGCCGCAGCAGCAAACTCTGGAAGCTATTTTATACGATTTTTTTTATACTGTCTTTTTATTTACAAAAATAAATGGCTTGAATTTGCTGTATTTTATTCATGTTTTGTTATAATACATACATATATACCACCCAAGCACAAGTATCCGGAATCG